AAGTAGGATGTACCATTGGTTTCTAAAGTAGTAGTTAGATAGTGTGTGTGCGGTAGAGATTATTAGTTCCAAGAAACAGCGCCTCTAGGATTTCGCGTTCATTGAAATGCGACTGCCCCGGCCAAGATTCTTGCTGTTTTGCCTAAGTGAGTAAGTGCTCAGGCAGTTCTGTTTATTTCTGTTTCAGCATATTTACGGGTGCTCCGCCTGTTACCAAGGACCAATGAAACTCAGCATCTCTTATAGGGCTTACAAATTGAGGGGACGCGAGTATCGAAGTGGTAAGGGATGCCTGTGATTTTCTCCGTTATACTTGCTAAGTTTGCTTTCACGCATAATGAACAATCAACAGAGACGTTTGACAATAAAATGAAAATGGCAATTCTATAAGGGCTGCTGTGAGTTTTCGGCGTGATTGGTGAGGTCACATAAGTTTTAGTTTCGCCGGCCATCTCACGACGGTCCGAAGCTAAGTGGTCTATTTGACGAATAGTACTCATTGTGAACACAGCAGCAGAGAGGTTCAATGAGCGCTATAAGGCTTCCTGAGTTCCACAAGTATATCTTTAAACCGACCACCCAGGATTATTATTTCTTGACTCTGACTTTCCGAAAATCCTCCGATACTCACTTAATTCGGTAGAAGCTTAGCAACTGAAGCAAAACTTTTACCTGGCTGTGCATTTGGGAATGAAAGGCAGGGTTCAAACCCATTCCAGAGTTTTTCTAAATTGTGCATGTTTATATGTACTCGCACCTATGGGCAAACACAAACGAGCGTACTTGACCTAAGGTCGAACCGCCACTCTCCACTCACAGCAAAAAAAAAAAAAAAATCAGGCTACACTGCAGTAGAAAGGGTATCTTATTGTAGTCTGTTTCCTCATGCGAAGCACAAAAATGTCTTGTGGGATTATTCTTTATTTCAACTGCAGGCTAAAGAATGTACCTTCGTGTAAATAGAGCGTGATTCTTTTACACCTGACCCACTTTATTGGGCGATTGTTTCTTAATTATTTATCTTATCTCGTAGAGGTTTGCAGCAAAAGATTCAGAAACAAAAAAATTTCAATAGCCTCACACTTTTTATGTCAAACTTTAAAAAAGAAGAATGAGCAAAAAATATTGAAAAAAACTTCTTTCCACAAAACTTCATACATGAGGTAATCCATAATGTTGAATTTTGAGATTTAACGCTTTGGGTACTGATTTCAACATTTGTTGTAGGTTTTACAATATACATTTTTTAACATTTGCGAACTTTTACTAGTGACGCTGGGCGCGTGGCTAGGAGAGAAATTTTTAACAATGTTTTATGGGCCTAAGCCATTCAATTTCGTAGAGAATTTCCCACTTGTAATTATCTATTTATACAGTTGTTTGAGATAGCTCTGATAAGAGCATCGTTGATCAAGTGATGGTCAAGTGATGATCTCAAGCCCCCTATGAGGTCGCATACTTCTCAACAAAACTTCAGCACAAACAGGTCTGTCTTAAAATAATATTGCTATACTGTGTGTTTCAAGGAGTGGGTCTAAAATCCTGGAATGTTTGTATGACACTTCACCAATTTTTTTTTCCGTATAGCTACAGGTGCCTTAAGATGACTACGGACAGCATTTAGTACAGCAATCACCATTTTAAGTTAAATACTTTGGCACTAGTGGAGTTATCAGGTTATGGCAAGCGGACAATAAAAGTGCTTCATGCGAATAACCTATCGCGGCTGTGAAATTCCGAAAAATTGTCATAAAGTATAAATTGCGTAGTAACGAAATGCACCGAAACTCAACATTGAAAGCGAAGCCACCAAACGTTGAAAACAGCCATGCTTATGTTCCTTTCGTATATTTGAGAGTGAGTTAGTGTCGTCATACCAAACATCAGCCAGCTTCACTCTGCGGGTGTGCGATATGCACTTGCAATCATAGCACGCATGATGCACGAGGTTACGTTAACGAGTGCACAAGAACTACATTCTTGCAATCACTGTCTTCAACAGACACGTCATTCTGGTCTTTTTCTTGTTGCGCTCATCGATTAATCGCTGTCGGTTTCGCCATTACAATTGGCTAAACTTCAGTATTGAACAATAATCACTGCAGGCCGCATTTTGCACAAAGCGATACGGTGTGCGACTTGGCTTCTGTATTTGATTCGGTATTTAGGCGCAAGACGACACCACCAAAGCAAATGAGACACATGACACATGAACTGCTGACTGACAACAGATGTTTTAATAGAACAATTGGCCCCGTATCTGCATGGTACACTGCAAATGTCGTTGAAAAACGACAGTCTTGCGTCTGCAGACAGTGAACAAAATATTTACATGATGTGCTGCGTAAGAAAATCGGTAAATGGTATTCTGGAGGCGCTGCGTTTGAGTGCCTCGAGTGTGTAGCGGAGGTGAACGAGTGCATCAAGTCACGTCAGACGTAAGCATGAGCGCTGTCTGGCAGTTATCTTGGAAAACGAAGTGCCGCGGCGTGTACGCCCGTCTCGGAGGCGATAAGGTGTAGAGCGGAAGGCACTGGCTAGGTGCTACCACCATGTCGTCTTAGCAAAGCGTTGAAGAAAACTTGCTTTTTCGTGCAAGCGTTGCATTTTGAGCGCAGCGTGATAAACGCTGCTAGTCCTCAGAGTCATTTCTGCATGCCTTTTTTAGTAAAATTACGCACATACAGACTATTGACGTGTTGTTATGGTGCCTCAGATATGCGCAATTATTGTTTTTTGATTGACATTCACACAAGTATAAACGCTGAATCTTGAGCAACATTGGTGTTGATGGGGTCGACTGTTTGGGGTATCATTCGGTGCCAATTGGGGTAACGTTAAGTTCGGACAAACAGAAAATGTACAGACAAAGAGACAAACAGACAGACCAAATGTTTTGTGTTGAAGGCACCCAAGAAAGACTATCGTCTTCAGAAACATGCGAGTCTCTTACATCAATGATGGCCAGAAGAAGTGTACAACAACATGCACGGATGGACCATCAGTGCCAACAGCAAACAAGCATATGGCGAATTTCGCAGTGAAGGTGGTGGCACTTGACTTGTTTTTGAGACAATGGTACTGAGGGTGAGAGCACACACATATCCAGCAACTGTGTGATCGCATGTGCTTCCTGTGTTTATCTTGTTAGAGAATCACAATATTTGCATGTCAAATTGCACTCTTTATATATTGGTTCACAATGTTCGCTGTCATACTCATCAAATCACCACTCTCGGCAATTATTGTCCATATGTCCCTAAGTGGTTACGTGTGGCAATATGTCAAACTGCATGTCTGAAAAACAGTTTCTACAATGTTTTAACATAACAATGTTGCATGTGCAGCCACTTGTAGCCATGTGGGCAAACATGGCTGAGGCTGTCAATGAGACGAGAATGACATTGAACCTTCAAAACAAATGTAAACATAGAATAATGTGACATCATAACACTGTGATTGTTTAAAAAATGCAAGGAGCCCACATGATCGCAAAGTTCCGGTAGAGTCTTATAAGCACACCTTCAGTAGCACTAGAGAAAATCGAAGTACCTTTACTGCCAAATTTGCCACATGTCTGTTTTCTGTCGGCAGTAATGTTTCATCTGTGCATGTTTTTGCTGGGTTTAGTTTGGCCACCGGTGGCGTAAAAGATTACTAGTTTCAATAAAATATTAGTGTTAACCCAGAGTCATGTCTATCTCATGTACCGTTTTCTGTGCGGTGTCGTCTCGCAATAGCAATTTTTGCACTCTATATATCAAACTTACTCGCTATTTCCAGCCATGAAGATTTAGGCGGGATCCCGTATGACGCGCTCATGTGGGGAGAATGCCTTACAATCTAACTATCTTGCAAACAACTATCTCCAACTGCATCTATTTTTATCTTCTTCCTCAGTGGCCGGCACTTTTGCCTGTATTGAAGTTAGCATATCTGGGCTTATAGAAATCTCTTGCCATGTGTCAGGAGTGTCAAGACGGCCGTTTCATTGTCAGCCCATAAGCAGTGATCCAGCTGTCGCTAAAACTGGTGGCTACAGATGCTTGTGTGACAAACAAAAAAGAAATAATAAAAAGGCTACAAATACGCCAGACATTGACGTCCCAAACTCAGAGTCGGAGACCCAGCCTTCAAGAGACAGAAACGTGTGTAGCATAAAAATAAGAAAAAACTATACATAAAAAGGTGCTTCGAGGTATGCTTTTTTCGGTATTCATTTATTGAAGAGAGAGAGAGAGAGAGAAATGAAGAGAAAAAACAGGGAAGTAAACCAAGCTTGGCTCGGTCATTCATTGAAGGGTTCTCCGTGTGTTAAGGTGGCGCAAGCATTAAGCCGCATTTGACCCAATAAGTGAGAATAGAGCCGTTGTTATGACCGGCACAGCAAGGAGGTGGCTTGCAAGGGACGCTCATCGGCGTAACGGTCAAACGCTGTCCGCGTCCTGCAGGAACGCGGGAGGCGTCTGTGTGCGCCGCAAGAAACGCACATTGGCGTCGCTGGGACACACAGCCTGCGTATGAGAAGATGCACGTGCACGGACGAGGGGTATAAAAAGCGCGTCGCGTGTGCGGTCGGCTCTCTCTCTTTCTGGACTTCGCTGGCCCGCTCGTCTCGAGTGCGCTCTGGGCCCCTGTGATGGAAAGGCGCGTCTGTACGCTCTCGTTGCAATGTACGTCTCTTGCAAATATGTAAATTAAACGCACCTTCTTCTTGTTTGTGAGACGCGTCGCAAGAGTCGTCCTTTGCCGGATCCTGGGTGGCAGCCTCAACCCCTCCCCGGGCATATCAACTGGTTGGCAGCGGTGGCATCGGTTCGTGTTCTTTCTTGGTACCGATGCTGGTGAGTGCTCACTTTCCGTAGAGATTCTGCCAGGTGTTTTGAATAGATGGTGATGTCTGTCCAAAAGGGTAGATTAGTTGCTGCTTTGTGAAGGATTGGGTTTATTATAGGTACCTTCACGGCAGTTTGAGCAACAGAAGTCTGCACGGGGTGACCATGGACTTGAACAAATTAAGGAAACCGGATTTAGTGCTGTTGTGCCAGGAGCTGAGGATTGATGTGGCGACTATACATAGAAAGCCAATTTTAATACAGGCGGTTCAGGATTGTGGCGCGGATGCGGAGGAACTCGCCGAGTGCTGGGAGCTAATTAAGGAGAGGATGAAAAGGGCACAAGAAGTCGAAGAGCGAGAGCGCCTTATGTTTGAAAGAGAAACCGTCAGGCGCAAAGAAGAAGCGGAAAGCCAAAAAAGGAAGCTTGAGCGCTTGCGGCTTCAGCTTAGGATTGCAGAGATTCAGGCAGGCACACGAGTGAGCATGAGGGACCTCTTGCAGCCTTGCAAAGAGAGCGAGGAGGAAGGTCCCATCCTGGAAACAGACAATGTGAGGAGACCATCCCCTGAGAACGATGACGGCGCATCACAAGTGTCAGATGAAGAGGGCGGGCTGGGAATTGTCGAGGATGGAAACTCAAGTGATGGTGAACAAGGTGAAGATAAAACAGGAGATGGCGATGAGGCGGAGGAGGGTGGGGTAGAAGAACAGGGGAAAGAAGAAAAACCAGAAGTGCAGCCTCAAGCTGAAGAGGAAGAGAGCTTACAGATGAACCCTCAAGAGGAAGAAACAGGTTCAGTGCCTGTAGAAGACACTCCAGCATCCCCTACCGAAGAGGACTCTTCATTCATGCATGATGCGCCTGCGTCTTCCCCTGCTGATGAAAGTCCATCATCTCCACTAGAAACGACACCATCTCCTCCTACCCCTGTTGTGCCGGCATCGCCAACGGAAGATGTGGTCCCTGGGGCATCACCTATTGAGAGTGGAGAGGACTCCTCGGCACCTGTCTGTCCTGAAGATGTGCCAGCAGATGAGCAATCAGGAGAGGTTTCAGGAGAATGTGAAGATGGGCAAGAAAACGACGAAAAGGGGATTGCAGACATCAATGAAGGCGACAAAAAAGACACAGAGGACAATGCATCTTCGCCAAAAGAAACTGAAAGTCCCGAGACTGAACCGGAAGAAGAGGAAGGGGAAGAGCTGAAAAAGAGCAGTTTGGCAGCTGGTGGACCAAGTGACGACATCGCTTCCCCTGCACCAGAGGAGTCTAAAGAGGCAGATGATGGTGGTGTCCTCCTGGGCAACCTCCGTGATACTGAAGATATATCTTCTTCTGAAGAAGAAGGCCTTCTTGAAGATACCAGTGATTGCATGGAGGATATATCGGAGCCTGGTAGCACAGAGGGCTTAGTGGAATATCTTGAAGCTATTGTCAGAGAGAACGAGGAGCCTTGGCGACAAGAGTCAAAGGACAGTGAATGCCCAGTGCATAAAGAGCGGAAGACAAAGCACAAGAAAGAAACTTGTCAGCATCGAAAGCACCGGCATCACCGGCGGACGAACAGCAATAATTATGACCGTGAAGAAGGTGAGATTGTTGAAGAAAGGTCTCCGTCATATTCAAGCTGACGACGAAAGGAGGTAGAGACAACTGCTGATGACTTGGCTGAGTTGGCACCACGCATCAACATTTCAGAGTTGCCGCGAATACCCAAGCTCAAACGTAATGAAAAAGTAGCAAGTCACACTGCTGACAGTGAATCAAGCATTGGACGTGATAGCACAAGTGCAACTGCAGCATCGAATGTCGAAGTGAAGCGCACTAGTGTGTTGGGCCGGGTTGACTCTGGCAGTGATATAAAAGCACTCACGGGAGCGTAGCTTCCGAGACGGAAAGCAACGGGATGACACAGTGTTGTACAAAGAGCGCGAATTCAAGAAGCGTGAAAAAAAAGTCGCACCGAGCGCTCTGATAATCCGACACGCAAGGACGCTGATGTGAAAGCAAGCTCTCCATCGCCACCACCGCCATCGAAAAAGAAGGAACGGCGCCCTGATCGAGAGCTGTATGTTCGCCCTGACAAGAAACGTGACTGGAATAAAAACGAAAAGAAGGAAAAGGAGAAGTCGTCATATGAAGAGAGCAAGTCATCATCTCACAAAGATCACAGGGACAAGTACCGCAAAGGCAGAGACAACGGTAACGCCGGTGACTAAGCTGAAGCCGAGACGACGGGAATGTGCCACTCAGCAAACTAGCGGGTTAAATGCGGAACAGAACTTCGAGTTTCTGTGCGTGCTACGAGAGATTAGTCTTGTGCGCGTGAGCGTGTTTGAGTTCGGCTGATCACCACCTCAGTGTAGTCTTCTGATCGGCAATAAACAATGAAAGGAGCTTCGCCCTAACTTGAACCTGGCGAATCTTAGGCGGGCTGAGTGCTCGCAGTGTCGGTGCTCTGTTTGTGTGCAGCCTCCCCCACTAAAGTCGGGCAGCTACTGGCCCAGAAAAAAAAAAACAGCCGCCGAGGACAGCGACCTTCATTTAGCGCCGTGTCACACGACTGACTATGGTGAAACCAGGCAACAGCGACTGGGATTCTTCGGATGTGGAAGGTCCCATGCTATGACCAAGTGGGCGTTGCGCGCCGAGTGTGGTTGCCATTCCAAGGTGTGTGGGTGTGCGGTGGATGGTGGCGACGCCGAAATGCGCTTGTTCGGCGATCTGCTTTGTGCTGTGCTGTGTTGTGTGCGTGTATGGGTAGTGGTTAAAAATCAGTGGAACAACCGAGAAGAAGCACAACTGCCACTTCAGGGAGCAGCGCCACTGCAGCCCTTCCGTGACCTCTACGGGTGGTGGACATGCTCTTATGACAGGCACAGTAAGGAGGTGGCTTGCAAGGGACGCTCATCGGCGTAACGGTCAAGCGCTGTCTGCGTCCTGCAGGAACGCGGGAGGCGTCTGTGTGCGCCGCAAGAAACGCACATCGCCCCGCCACGGTGGTCTAGTGGCTAAGGTACTCGGCTGCTGACCCGCATGTCGCGGGTTCGAATCCCGGCTGCGGCGGCTGCATTTCCGATGGAGGCGGAAATGTTGTAGGCCCGTGTGCCTAGATTTGGGTGCACGTTAAAGAACTCCAGGTGGTCTAAATTTGCGGAGCCCTCCACTACGGCGTCTCTCATAATCATATGGTGGTTTTGGGACGTTAAACCCCACATATCAATCAAGAAACGCACATCGGCGTCGCTGGGACACACAGCCTGCGTCTGAGCATATGCACGTGCACGGACGAGGGGTATAAAAAACGCGTCGCGTGTGCGGTCGGCTCTCTCTCTCTCTCTGGACTTCGCTGGCCCGCTTGTCTCGAGTGCGCTCTAGGCCCTTGTGATGGAAAGGCGCGTCTGTACGCTCTCGTTGCAATGTACTTCTCTTGCAAATATATAAATTAAACGCACCTTCTACTTCTTTGTAAGACGCGTCGCAAGAGTCGTCCTTCGCCGGATCCTGGGGGGCAGCTTCAACCCCTCCCCGGGCATATCACCGTGCAGTAAAAAAACCGACACTACATGGGGCACGTCGGATGATAAAGTAGACGACTAAGAAGTAGTCAGTCTCTACGTGCGCCTGCTTGTTTGTGTGTGACTTTTGGTGCATGTGTTTTTTTTGTGTGTGTATGTGTCAGTGCGCTTGCTCTTGCTTACTTGTGTTTACGTGTGAGTGTGTGCGTGCACGTTACTATATGTACCCACGAATCTTGGTGGTTCTTTAGTGTCTGCATGAGGGAACGGAGGACGAATACCTCTAAAAAAGCTATTTCACCTTTGTGCGCTTTCTGAAGTTCACCTAAACGAAGGACATGCAAATATATCTTTAAATATTGGGCCATCAGAATGTGGTAGTCGTTTTAGTGTAACTAATTTGTAATGGTGAGTTGTTCTGCTGAACATCTTAGCTATAGGACGCTAATTCAAGCGACGGGATATATATAGAACGCCGCTTAGTGATTGCCATAGTATGGAATTTTAGCCAATGGCAGAAGTTCGTGTTCATGGTAGCCTTGCTAGTGTTTGTACAAAAATTTCAATTTTTGGGACAAAAAAAACTATTAGGTGACAATTTATACATCCACTATATATCTAAAGAAAGAATATATTATTCCCATTTTCTTTTACACTAGTAGAATGCTATAAAATAAAAATTAAAAAAAATTATAGTTTAGAAAGTAAACCATTAACGTAATTTCTTTTCCAAATTAACCCTTTGACCAGACGTCCTAATAAAGCACATGAAGGAAATTTGCCCTTTTGCTGTGACATAATTAAGTCGCGAATTTGAGAAGGTGTCTGAACTTGTCTCATTGCGCCTGCGCAAGCATAAGTAGTATTTTTCCCGTCGTCTTTTTTGCAACTCTGCAAAGTGGAAAACAAAAAGGCGGAATACGTGATAACGATGACATTTCCGACGTCCAAATAATGAATGACACATTACTGCTAAAGGAATATGGTAATTGTGATAATGTTAATTATTTGCTAATATATACTCACTGCTTGTTTTATCACTGGGTATTTCAGTTTCACGGTGCACGCGAAAAAATATGGTAATGCTTTCAATAAACAAATTGAGACAAAACGCCTTTACTGAGAATAAATATTGAACAACAGACAGTTTTCGCTGTGGTTTAAAGAAGAATGTAAAATAAAAAGCAGGCACTCGAAATTTCTCTGAATTTCCCAACTGTGGCAGACCGCACAGCCAATGGTATTGGTACGTAAAGCGCCAGACATTGTCATCATTACTGTGAAAGCTAGGGTAACACCCGCGGCCAGCCTTCGCAATTCTGACGAAGGCTAGCACACCAGCCGACACGTTAATAAAACCAGAATTCGTACTTGCATCCATATATATATATATATATATATATATATATATATATGTGTATATATATATATATATATATATATATATATATATATATATAATTGCACAGTTCGGGAAACGCTATGACAGAACAGCTGGTTTGGGAATTCAATCGCAAAGGCTTTGTTAGCACTAATTTCTTCGCTTTATCATTATTCTCAATGCGGTATACTAGCTGAAATAAACATTTTTCGAAGGTAAACCGCAATCTATAGTTTATTCACATTAGCTGTCTGACCTGTGTAGGCGAATGACAATGAATTTTATTGAGGAATATTTTCCGTAGATCATTTAGGTGGTTTTTGAAGCTGAACAATCTTTGTTTTTATTAAAAAAAGCTTCTCAGCAGCTTGTTGCCCACTGCATAGCCTATGAGCAAGACTTCAAACATGTCTTGCCACAGTTTTATTCACTCACATAGTTAGTGATCAACGTGTGTGTCTCGTCCGGATACGTCTTAACAACTGAAAACCATCACAGCCTTTATCCGGCCACATCTCATCTACTGCGAATCACATCTAGTTAAAGAACCTGGTCATATTACTGCTACTAATAATACAAAAAGTCATCACTATTATATTATTATTATTATTATTATTATTATTAATATTTGAACTTTAACGTCTAAGCTTACGATATGATTAAGACAAACAGCGTGGAGGAGGGCTCCGAAAATTTTCACCGCTTGTGGTGTTTTAGCGTGCGCCTAAATCTAAGTACACGGGCTTCGAACATTTTTGCCTCAATTGAAAAGGCAGGAGGCACACAGTGAACAACCTGCAGATATGACATAATATTCTTGGGATTCCGCGACTAAGTGCCTAGGTTCTTAATTCTTCACGGCCTTCTCTGAGCGAGCATCTTGGGCTTTTGCAACCTATATTTCGAGAGTGCAAAACCAAAAAAGAACTTTGGTGACTTAGATTGGAGTCCGCAACCTAATAAAACTTCTTATTGGGCTAGGTAGTACGTGCTTATTAAAATAAAAAAAGAGGTGTACCATCGAGAAAGAAAATTGAGGACAGAACAGAAAGTCTGTAAGCAGCTTATAGGGGTTGTCATGTGCAGACCGCCACGATTTCCCGTCATTTTAGGCCATGTAGTAGTTGCCTGATTTGGAAGCTTGTCCCATGTTTATCCTGTGTAAGTCTAAGAAGATTGAAAGTTTGGAGCTGAAACGATACAACGCCAAAGCTGGCGGATTACTCACTCGGTGAGTGTTGTGCACCTCACCGCTATTGCAATACAGAAGGAGATTTAACGGTTGGCGCCGATCTCCAACCACGATATCTCTGAGAACTTATGACTTCTCACTTCTAAGGTCAAATTGTTACGAGTGACAGAACACCGCACTCCTACACTGTTATTACTGCCAGGTTTCCTGAAGTTACAATTCGAAACACTTCTGCGCTCATAGAATAGACGAAAAAACGAAAGGCGAGAAGAGAAAAAAGCGCGAACTCACAACTCAGTTTATTAAAGATGTACACGAATTATCTAGCCCACCGTAGGCCCCACCACGGTGATCTAATAGCTAAGTGTCTTGGCTGCTGACCCGCAGGTCACGGGATCGAACCGGGGCTTCGGCGGCTGTATTTACTATGGAGGGAGAAACGTTGTCGTCCCGTCTGCTCAGATTCGGGTGCTCTATAAAGAACCCCAGGTGGTTGAAATTTCCGGAGCCCTCCACTAAGGCGTATCTCATAATCATACG